GCCGTTTCATAGAACCTATGAATTAAACTTCAGTTTGACAATGTGCCTATTGCTGTGGGAGATAGTGGCTGTAGGAGAGTTTGGTTAGTCTATGTGACTTATTCATTTGCTTTTGCCTCATTTCAAAGCATCATTAAAAATAACCACGAAGATTAACAGGTTTGAATAATGTATTGACAATTGTTAAGTACAATGAAATTAGCCAATATTTCTTGATCTCTGCAAAGTTATTTTCTCCAAAGAGTTAAGGACAATTTATTTAAGTCTTACCATGTCACAGAAAATAGGTAGGAGTTGGTATGAAAAGCTGAGGAATAAAGGAATTCATTAAATGAATATAATGATACTATTTCAGTATATTAATGTGAACATTCCTGCTGCTATATGACAGAGAAATGAACTTAGTAGACAGCTTTATATGTCATTTCTGTCAACACATCTCATGGATGATGTAAACTCTAAGATCTAACCTTTGAATAATGATTATTTACTGATTATTATAGACCGATGAATAATTCTATAATTAAAAAAGAGAAAATGCTGTCATGAACACACTTACTGCTTAGGAACTTTGTTTCTAAATGCCAGTTCCCACCAAAATGAATTGGGGTTCTTTGGCTAATTCTATGGCTGGGGGCAATGAATGTACACGATGAGCCTGGAAAGCCTCCTTGTGCAAGATAATGAAGAAATGCTCAAACACTAAAAGAGATATGTTAAAAAGTAGACAGAGGTCAACTTGAAGGGACTCCCACTGGTCAAATCTGGAATAATATGAACATTAAAATAAATAATGATAGCAATGGATTATAAGCTTTTGAATCAAATAAGAATCCATGAGTTCATATGATAGTTGATGTGGGGAGAGTGTGTGAAAGTGAAGCTATCTTTTAAAGTCGAATGCCAATTAATAAATGTAGAAGGAATAATGGAGGTAACAAATCATTATTTTGCAATCATAGTAATAACTTATTTGCAGAAGAATAATCAACAGATGCTGAAACTAGTGGGTAAAAGTTGGATAAAAATAGGTTATTTACATATTCTCAAGGTAGAGCATCCTTCAAATTTCTTATTAATTACAAAAGGGAAAATTACCGTTAAACCTAGCAGACACCACATCAGCCAAGAGATCAAAGTTAACATAACCAATAATGGGACAAACTGAAATCCTGTACCTACTGAAGTCATGCTTTGACAAGAACACATCACTTATATGATATTCTTGCCCCAAATGCATAGTTTGAATCTAGTTAAAAATGAATATTAAAAATATAAATTCATGGCTATTAAATTTTCCTGTATTCTGCAAGCCTATAAATGTTATCAAACACAAAGGCTTATAACCAATTATGTACTTACTATTAAACAAGATTAAAGAAACATGAAACAAAATGCAATTCAGTTTATCCTACAAAGAATATCATTGGGACAATTGATGACATTTGAGTAAGTTTTGTAGATTATATAATTATGTTGTATAACTGTTAAATTTCCTGATTTTATAATTGTGCTGAGATTATATGAGACTGTCCTTGTTCTGAGGGAATATACATTGAAATATTTAAGAGTAAAAGTAAAATATCTTTAACTTACTCTCAAAAGTTTATATATGAAATTATTCATATGTACTATATGTCTATATATGAGAGAGAAAGAGAGAATGGTCACTCTGGGTAAAGTATATTCAGGAATTCTTCATGCTATTATAACTTATTTATAGATCTGAAATTATTTCAAAATAAAAAGGCTTTCAAAAGGCTTAGTGTGAAAAAATAAAGACAAGATATATCACGTTTAGTCACAAGGTATATCTTGGAATACTAACATCTGGAAATTTGGATATTTCGTGAGATATAAAGAATAGTATTATGCACATGTTTAGTGACTTCCAAGTATCTTTTTTTTTTAACTTCAGTCATTTAACTTTATCAATTTCAAGATTCTTTCAAGAAGTGAATAGTAATAGAATTTGGTTAGGGATTTTGTCATTTGCTTATAAAATAATAAATTAGATAATACTCATGAACTCTCCCATCTACAATGCATTTATAAACCAGAATAGAAAGTACTTGTTAAAAAAACAATGACGTCCAAGACGCTGCAGATATAAAAATGTTGGAAAAACAGCTTTGTCCCTCAGTTAGTCAAAGTTTAATAGGATGGTGGTGATGGATACATATGTATGTATGCAATTAATAGCTATCAAGAGACTCCTTGGTTTGTGTGGTTATGTAAGTATAAACAAAATGCTATGTATATATAGTAATGGGAAAGTGCTATGGAAAAACAGGAATGGAAGAAGTTAATTATGAAATGAGCTTTTAGGAAAGCGTCTCAAAAGAGGTAATATTTGAGCTGAGCCCTGATTGATAAGTAAAATTTAAAGAGCACTAAAGATCCTAGGCAAGTGCCAACACAAAGTCTTTAATAACGTTATTAGAAGGAAAGCTCTGTGAAGGCAGAGACCTTGTCCTGTTGCATGTGACTGACATATAGTAGGTGCTCAATACATATTAGTCATGTAAATGAATAAATAATAAAAATGGCATGTAAACAATCTGGTTATTGAGAAATAGTTCACTTTCTTCTTGCATGGCTTAGATTTGGTAGTGGTGATGACATTCTTTTCAATTATCCTTGGAATAGCTAAAGAACGTAGATCATTTCTGTAATATACAAGTGTATGAAATGTTTGTGTAAATACAATTTATTGAAGTATCTGGGAAAAGGTATATAGAAAGAAATAATTATTAGAAACTTTAAATAATCTGTCTCTTATTTGAAAATGAACCAAAAAGAACTAGAAATAATAAAATATAATCTTTGAAATGTAAAACTCAATGGACTGGATAGGCAGTAGATTAGACACAGTTGAAGAGGGTGTGAGTTACCTGAACAATAACCCGAATGAATGACACAGAATGACACACATATAGATGAAGAGAAACTGGTGAAGGGGGATTAAAAGATTAGACAATATGGAGAATAGACCCATAAGTAGGTATAATATATGACTAATAGACTAATAGTCCCAGAAGGAGAGAACAGAATTGAAGAGAGATGAAGAGAGGCATAAAATATGGACTTTAGTCAAGAAATATCAATATTGGCTTATCAATTGTAGCAAAAGTCCCATGCTAATGTAAGATGTAGGATAAATAAGATAATAGAGGAAATTGTGTGCAGGCAGATGAAGTGGGTATGTGGGAACTATCTGAACTTTTCCTCTCAATTTTTCTGTAAACCTAAAACTGTTCCAAAAATGTTATTAAAATAAATGAATAAATAAGTAAAATGTGCAATGAGTTACAGTTATAGTTTAAATTCAACCACATTAAAGGCAAAACCAAAAAGGGCTGAGAAATACATGCTTAGCAAGAATAGAATGCATAAAAACCTAGGACATTAAAGGACTAAGTTTAAAAACATTAGCATTTGTGAATATTAAAATCCTATTGTATTAGAGAAGCATGAATGTTGACAGAAGCACAGTAGAGTATGGAAAGAAGAGGGTTGAAGGTCAAAGCCCATTTTTTGAAGCCAAAAACTGTAACCAAAAAATAGTCACTATTATACACCTTATATGGGAGTGTAATGTTTACTCCCCGCAACTCCAATCAGATTAAAGCCTGCTCAAGGGCCCATCTATAAGAAGAATGATGGTGATCATTTTTCATGGTTCTTCAACACTTAACCCAGGAAATCATATAACTCCTCTCAAAATGGAGAAAGCCCTTGTTTTCAAAACGTGGTGCTCATCACTGCCTTTGTTCACATTTGAAATCAAGTGACTCTGAAAAGGACAATGGTTTACTCCATCTAAGGGTAGCCACTGAGACCTCTGCCCTAGCTTCCAAAACATCCATCCTTGCAGGCTTCCAAACATCTACTCATTGTCCTGGAACCTAAGGATGCCAAATGTGAGCAGGTGTCAAGTCCTGGCACCTCACAGAACCTGCAGCACTCTGCATCTTTCTCAATGTGGGGAGCAGGGGTAAACACCCAGTTGAGTGGGAAGACACCGATTCCCCTTAAAGCACCAAGCCTCACGTATGTGCAACCTGTGCAGCTTGCATAGGGCCCCGTGCTTAGATGTACCTGTACTTGATTTAGTGCTCTGCTGTTGCCATCTTGTAATTCTTAAATCTTTTATAAGGGGTCCCACATTTTCATTTTGCACTGTCCTTGGAAAATTATATAGCTGGTCCTGCTCTCATCTCTCATTTATTATATAATATACTAACACAGTCATAGAGTTTAATTCTCCCCAAAGATCTAACCAAAGTTTGCCAATGTTGGTGCCCACAGGGACCAAACAATGTTTAAATGATTGAAGCAGTTGTGACAGGGAACCAGTAGGGGGTGCTGGGTCTGGGGTGGAGAGGAAACCAAGTCTTATCCAGAAGGAGGAGCTAGTACTTGACTGGCTAAGTGTTGTCCTGCGGGAATGCGAGACTGCTGTAGCCAGATCTCCCAATAAAATCACACACACAAAACAAACTAGAGATGCACTTTTTATTTTTAAATATGAAATCATGGGCCGGGCGCGGTGGCTCAAGCCTGTAATCCCAGCACTTTGGGAGGCCGAGACGGGCGGATCACGAGGTCGGGAGATCGAGACCATCCTGGCTAACACGGTGAAACCCCGTCTCTACTAAAAAAAAATACAAAAAACTAGCCGGGCGAGGTGGCGGGCTCCTGTAGTCCCAGCTACTCGGGAGGCTGAGGCAGGAGAATGGCGTAAACCCGGGAGGCGGAGCGTGCAGTGAGCTGAGATCCGGCCACTGCACTCCAGCCTGGGCGACAGAGCGAGACTCCGTCTCAAAAAAAAAAAAAAAAAGAAATCATGATATTTTAAAATGTTGATTCAATTAGAAAAAATATACTCTGTGTGGGCCAAACAAAACATATCTGCTTGGCCATCACTTGGCCAAGTTATAGTTTATGACTTCTGGCCTAGGACCTCAAAAGCAAAAGCATGTTCCTTAGTTTCCCTCTTTTTTTTTCAATAAGATTGACAACTTCATTTTTCCTCTCTCTTTTAGAACACAAAAGCAGTTAACTTGTAGGTGATATGGAGAATCCAGACCTTAGGAAGAAATGTTTGCCTTTATCCTGGAGGAAGGAAAAAATTACTTTTATTTTGGATGGATCCACTACAATGAAAACAAATACAAAGCCATTCTCAATAGGTAGGTTATCGTGTGTATTAAATTATTACTAAACTGCTGTGTTTCAGTTATTGATATTGTTGATCAGGCATAAATAAAATACATAAATAAAATAGTTGTGTGTTGTTTGACAATAGAAACATGTTCTGAGAAATGGGTTGTAAGGTGATTTAGTCATGCAAATATCACTGCTGGGCTACATGGTAGAGCCTATTGCTTCTAGGGTACGATACCCGTACAGCATGTTAATGTGCTGACTACTGTGGGCAACTGTAACACAATGATAAGTGTTTATCTACTTAAACATATCTAAACATAGAAAAGGTACAATTAAGATATGGTATAACAGGTGAAAAATAGCATACCTGTACAGGGCACATGCCATGAATGGAGCTTGCAGTACTGGAAGTTGCTCTGGGTGAGTCAATGAGTGGTGAGTGAATGTGAAGGCCTAGGATGTTCTGTATAAACGTATTACTCTATAAATTTTATAAACACTGTACACTTAGGCCATACTACCTTTCATTAAACATTTTTTCTTTCTTCAAGAATAAATTAACCTTAGCTTACAATGAACATTTGGTTTATAAACTTTAATTTCTTAAAACTTTTTGACTCTTTTGTAATAATGCTTGGCTTAAAGCAAACACATTATACAGCTATAGAAAATATTTCTTTATATCCTTATTCTATAAGCTTTTTTTTTCTATTTTTTTTAACATTGGAAAAACCATTTGTGAAAAACTAAGATATAAACACACACATTAGCCTAAGCCTACACAGGGTCAGAATCCTCAGTATCACTGTCTTTCTCCTCCACATCTTGTCCCACTGGAAGGTCTGCAGGAGCAATAACACACAGGAAGCTGTTATCTTCTATGACAACAATGCCTTCTTCTGGAGTACTTCCTGAAGGACCTGTCAGAAGCTGTTTTACAGTTAACATTTTAAGTAGAAGGAGTATACCCTAAAATAGTGATAAAAAGCATAGCATAGTAAATACATAAACCAGTAACATATTTATTATCAAGTATTATGCCCTGTACATAATTGTATGGTCCACAGTTTTATATGACTGTCAGCACAAACATGTGAGTAATGTGTTGTGCTACAGCTTTACAATGACCGCATCACTAGCAATAGGAATTTTTCAGGTCCATTATAATCTTACGGGGCCACCATATGGTATATGGCATATGGTCCATCATTGATTGAAATGTTGTTACATAGCTCATGACTGTATATGAAGGAATGTTAAGGAGTGAATGGGATTCAATGTCTTCTCAGTTTTATGGCCAGCACCTGGTATCTCCTCACTACTAACCAAAGTAATTCTGTTACCTTACATAAACAGATTGGCAAGCAGCCCCTCTCTTCTTGGTCCTCATTCACATGTCAGTTTATGGAATCTTTAAAATACATAGTTCTTTTGGAGATCAGTTTAAATGAGTGAAGAAGAGTCAATGAGCCTCTTAGAGAGATTTTAACACTGTAGAATGTGTTGTCACTTCACCACAGGATAGGCTTGTTCCACCTGCACTGTCTTTCCTATGGTTCTTATTTATAACTTTTTTTTTTTTGTTACTATTCATTTCTCTTTTCATTTACTGTACTGCCAGGCAGATATTTCCATATTCTGTCCACTAGACTAGAAGAAATGCTCCAGGCATTCTCACACTGAGTATCCTTTCCTGACAAAACTCCCTTCCCAGAAGGGCTGCTGTATATGTTGGTAGATAAGGATGTGCACTGCACAACTTCAACGAGCGCCATTGACATTGTCGTCTAGGGGAATGTTCCCTCCCAAGTGGTACAGAGTTCAACTTACACAGCTGAACAAGTTGCCAAGGTTTCCTGGACACTGCCTTAGACCCAATGGTAAGGACTATAGCTTACCTAAGCTCTTGCTTACTCTCCTATAAAGTGTACGCACGAAATCTATGGCACAGGTACACTGCAACATCTGTTCATGTGACCCCCCCCCTTTTTTTTCATTAGAAAATCTTCAATTTCTCCTCAAATGCTGTCTTCAGGAATAAGTCTGTTATCAGTGAGTTCTAAAAGTGCTGGGCTGATTTTATCAGAAAAACTTGGATGAGTTGTTTGAAAAATAAAGATTCCTAGGCTCTAGGATTAAGATTCTGCTTTGGAAGATCTGCAGCAGGGCCTATCCTCTGGGCAACAAAGTGATAGTCTGAAGCTCCACACTTGTCATTACTGGCTTATGAGACAAGGAGTGTGTGCACGTGTAGTGGGGGGTGCAGGAAAGACAATGAGTGTGTGTATGGTTGGTGGGGGGCACGGGATACAGGCTTCCAGGGATTTCCTTCTCTCCTTTAGGCTGGAGAGGATCCAGTAGCCTGAAGCGAGAGCAGCAAAGCATACAGGCTGGAAGATGGGGTACAGCATTGAAATAAGGAATCCGTGGCTATCTGAATGGCTTTGCAAAAGTGTCCTCAACAATGTACCCCAACAATTTGGTATTTGATATTATCAGTACTTTCTTAAAATTAGACTTCTGATTCTGGGAAGATGGAATAGGCATACTTTTCTCTATTCCTTCTATTGACTGCAACTAAATACTCTGAGCATTGTATACAAAACAAACATAAGACTCTGACAGGTAGAGAGAAGAAAGTGGACCAGACAGGGATTTGGGGGATCTGAAGAACAACACAGTGGCAAGTTCCCGTTTTTTGTTTTTCCTCCTTACATATCCTAGACTAGGCACTGCAAAAGCCAGCAAACTGAAAGTGTCAATGGGCTCAGACAAAAAAAAAAAATTCGCAACCAAGGGCTGCTCTCTCTAGCCAAAGGAAAGGAGAAGTCTAACAAGAGAGAAAAGTTTTAGAAAATAACAGCTCTACTGGAGAGATCCAGCAGTTAGCCAAAGCTTAGGAGGCCAGTCAGGGCAAGAAAGTTGGGAATCACCGTCTGATGGGTTAAGTCTACTGGAATTAATGTGATGGCTGGGATGAAGAAATGCAAAATGAGGGCCAAAGACAGACATCTGGTAATGCCTACAAAGTTATTACCCTTTGGTTTACAATTAAAACCACTTCTGAGTATATACATACACACACACACATATATATATATATATGTATGTATGTATATATAATACCTAGTGTCCCTCCCTGGAGATTCCTGGGTTCTTTTTATATTTTTTTCAAGATGCAATAAATGTTGAAAACTGCTACAAGTATTGGAGGGAAAAAGAACCAAGGACTTGCCATAAACAGCGAGGTGATTCAGAAGACAGCATTCAGGAAGCCCCTGACAGGGCAGATCACGAATGCAAGAATGGCCAACAGCACCACATGCTGCAGAACAGCAAGGAGATCGAGGACTCAGGGGAAGTCGTTTCTCAAACAATGAAACAAAAGATGGTTTGAAGATGTCCTAAATATTGTGGGAATACCAAAAGAAATTAGGTCAGTAAATATCAACATCTTATTTTATAGGCCCCAAAGAGAGCAGTCCAGAACAATGAAAAAAAAAAAAGAAAAAAACCTTACAATAACTTCAGAGCTGCCTGGACACCGCCTCTGATTTTATTTAGAGGACAACAGATGTCCACGAATTCTACCTATTTTGAAAATGAGAATACAAACCGCTACCTGTTAAGACAAGCAAATGGGGGGCAAATCTAATTCACATAGTTAACTTAGATAAACTATAACAATATTAGGAAATGCCCAAATCACAACTCAACTTTCACTACCTTTATAATTTGACACTCTAGTATTTTTATAATTTATTACTTCCATGATTAGCAATTTCCCTTTAAATATATATTTTTATGACTTGGTACATTCTGAAAAAACAGTATGAACTCATTCTCATTTTATCCTAAAACAGTAGATGTGTATAATGATCTATTAGTAAATGCTTTCGCATTTTAAAACTTGATACTGGCAACACTCCTATGGTATATACAAATAAGGCAGGTAATAGAATCACTATTATGGAGAAGAGAAAACAGAAGCCCTAAGAAATTAAATGATTTGCTCAAGGACCTCTAACTTCCATGTAGAAGTCAGAATTCAAACCCAAGGCTTTTGATCCTTAAAATTTTTCATAGCACATTCGTTCTGTTAGGATGCTTGGTCTTAGTAGTCACTTCTCATCAGGCTTAGTGAAAAACTATGCCCACGTGTTTCACAGAGACTGTGTCAGTGGTAGGCTCTGGTTTGTGAAAAATGCTGGGGAGAGAGGGTTCAGATATTTTGTCCTGAACAAAAATGTATCAGTTTCTTTATCCACAAAGTCCAAAGGGAGGAAAAAACTTGTTACTGGACTCCATGGCAACAGAAGCAAACTTTGACCCCTCCTTTAAAGGCTGGAGGTTTCAAAGTTAAAAGCAAATAAAATATTACTATAATTTTTATTTAAATATCTCTGGTGTTAAGCGTTTCTTGAAAAGGTGTACTTAGTTTTCCTGTTTTGCAGAAGTAGACATTAAAACAAATAAAAAGAGAGTTATTAAAAAATCACAATTTTATTTTTGCAATAAATCTCTATTTGACTAAAAAAGGCAGTATTCAATGAGCAAACACACAAAGCTATTTTAAAAAGACATCTATTTTCATAAGATAGGTTTCTCTAAAATGTAGAGAAATTACATCTTATTTTTCTAAATGGCTGTTACACTCAACAAACTAAAATACTCTTATAAAGAGCAGCTTTATAAAACCTACTAGAAAGGTTATGATCAAGACACGTCAGAACCAAAGCTTAGTAGCCTTCAGGGAAGATGGTAATATTGATTCCTAGATCGTCATCATCATTTTCAAGTTCTTTATCATTTTCTTTAGTAATACACTGGGCATGTGCTTTTTCTGGGTTTCTTTGTTTCTTATGAGTATATGACGAGTTATTTTTCTCTTTGATCTTGGGATGTAAGTTAGTCATAGTTTCCCTTTCCAAAGCATGATGTAGGCAGTTATAAAACCTGTAAAGAAATAAGTACTACTGTTATATCTGTGTGTACTGAAACCAAATGATTGAAATACACCAAGAGCTTATAAGTTATGTAAATCTGACTATGTCCCATATTAGCTTTATAAATATAAAATAAATCAAATAAATAATATGTTTTATAGGGAAATAAATGCACTTTAGTTCTTTAAGAACAGCCCTGAAAATTGGATTGGAATCATCTCTTGACAATCTCTGTCCTACCTCACTTTCCATCCCAAATGTAGGGGTCGAAGAAGAGGGTAAAAAAAGAATGGAATTATAATTACATAAATGTAATGGCTCATTTTAGGTAATTTGTGTAATGTATGGGGTTACAAATACAGATCACCTCTACATAACTAGAAATAACTGCTTTCAATATTTTTCTTTTCAGTTTATTAATGTAGTCTGAATTAATGTATTTATTAATCCATATACCTATTTTTTCACAATTAGAATATTACATATAAAGTTTTACATTGTTTTTTCAAGTTTAACATTTATTGAGAATGGCAGTATAACATTATGTCACCTAGACTGGCCTTTATTTATATTCAAAATTTTCCTGATACAAACAAAAATGTGGTAAGCATTTTTGAAAGTGATGTGAGTTTTTAGCCACTTCTTTACTACAGATACCTAGAAATATCATTACATGGTTAAAGGGCATAAACATTACAAGACTCTTGATAAATACTGCTTGTTTTCCACAATAGATATTCAAATAAATATGCTTCTAATAGCTGCACTTGAGAGAGATCACTACACCCATACACTCAATATTCCTACCCAAAAATACATTCTACCTGGATGAGTGGAAATGATATCGCATTATTTTAACTTTCATCTCTTTGTAAGTAAAATAGAATGTTTCTCATTTATTAGCTATTTGAATATTTAGTGTAAATTATTCTTTCCCTTTATTCATTTTTCTATTGGAGTTTTAGTGTTAGTTTTGTGATACAATAAACTGTAGGCTCTCTGAAAACCAGGCCTCATTTCTTTTCTACCCTCATGTTAACACGTAACACAAAACTCTGCTTGACACAGTAGCCTTCAGTCTATGTTGGAAGGCAGCAGGCAGCTGGTGTGTTGCATGCATTTGATACCAACATTCCTTTGGGAAAGAGGATGTCAGCTAATTCCAATTAATTTCCCACAGTCTTGATTTTTCACATTTATAAAGCTGGATATTATTATCCTGTAGTTATCAGGGTTGTCACAGGATTACAGATGATATATGTAAGTACCCAGAGAATTAGTTATCAAAAATGACTACTTTTATAGAATATAGACTTCAAGAGACCAAGGATCCTATCTACCTGTCTTCTGTTATATCTTAGCATGCAGTAGAGTGCTGGCATCCTCAGTAAGACTATATTGAATAAATGAATGAATAACCCCAGATTAAAAATGTAACTATAAATGTATTATCCTAGGTCCCAAATTAGAATGATCTGAAAGTTAAGAAATCCCCTTGCCACTGCAGAGATCTCATCTTACTTTTATGTCCTATTATAATGGGAGACTATGGCAGGAAATTTTTGATATCTACAGAATAGATCTCTATTTGGACCAATTTTCATCTTTGTTTGATTCAATAAACAGGCTAAGTTCTACTTACAAAGCCTATAAAACTCGAAAACTCCAAATATCCACCTATTCCTAAATACATCACCTAACTCTAATACATAAACATGATGAGTACATATCCTGTCCATTTTCAAGAACTTACACACTCATCACTGTACACGTTGATATCTAGTGCTGTGCTTGGCAAATAACAGATGCCATTCATCACATTAAAAAAAAAAGTAATTAAAAAAGAATGTATGCCTTACTTTAATCAACCGTTAAAGAACCTGAGAATTCAAAGCTAGGTCCTTAGGGTACCAAAACAACCGGTAAAATGGAACAAAGATCCATAAAACTGAATGCCTTTAACAGCACCCAAGTCACCTGTTGAATGCTTTGCTGCTTAGAAATTTCTTCTGCCCAATACCCTAAATCATCTCTCTCAACTTTAAAGTTCCACAAATCTCGAGGGCAGGGGTAAAATGCTGCCAGTCTCTTTGCTAAAACCTAACAAGAGTCACCATTGCTCCAGTTCCCAATAAGTTCCTCATCTGCATCTGAGACTACCTCAGCCTGGATTTCCTTGTCCAAATTATAATCAGCAATTTGGTCAAAGCCATTAGATAAGTCTTTAGAAGTTCCAAATGTTCCCACATTTTCCTGTCTTCTTCTGAGCTCTCCAAACTGTTCCAACCTTTGCCTGGAACTGGTACCCAGTTCCAAAGTTGCTTCCACATTTTTGGGTATCTTTTCAGCAGTGCCCCACTCTACTGGTACCAATTTACTGTATTAGTCTGTTTTCACACTGCTGATAAAGACATACCTGAGACTGGGCACTTTATAAAAGAAAGAGATCTAATGAACTTACAGTTCCATGTGGCTGGGGAGGCCTCAAAATCATGGTGGAAGGTGAAAGGCATGTCTCACATGGCAGCAGGCAAGTGAGGAGAGCTTGTGCAGGGCGACTTCCAGTTTTAAAACCATCAGATCTTGTGAGACTTATTCACTATCACAAGAACAGCACAGGAAAGACCTGCCCCCACGATTCAGTTACCTCCTTCCAGCCCCCTCTCACAACACATGGGAATTCAAGATGAGATTTGGGTGGAGACAAAGCCAAAACATAGCACTATCTCTTTCTCCTTTGTTCATGCTGTTCTTTTTTATCTATCATGCTATTTCCCCCTTCCGCAGAGCTCTTCATATAATAACCCTGCCTGCATTTTAGGCCCTGCTCAGTGACTTCTTCCATGAAGCTTTCTTTGATTACACAATACCACTTCTGAGTATATATCCAACAGAACTGAAAGCAGTGACTCAGATACTTGTACAATCACCATCAATCATCATTTATCACCAGTGATGTTCAGAGCAGCATTATTTACAATAGCCAAAAGGCAAAGACACTTTAAATGTCCATTGACAGATCAATGAATAACAAAATGCAGTCTATAAATACAATGGAATATTATTCAGTCTTAAAGAGAACCGAAATTCTGATACACGTTACAACATGGATAAATCCTGCATTAACTAAGTAAAATAGGCCAGATACTAGAGGATGTATATTGTATGATCCCACTTAGATGAATTATCTATAATACTGGAATTCATAGAGAGAGAAAATGGAATAGTGGTTACCAGGGGAATGCAGTATGAGGAATGGAGAGTTAGTGTTTAGTGGGAATAGAGATTTAGTTTGTGATGATGAAAACGTTCTGGAGATGGACAGTGGTGACAGTTACATAACAATGTGAATGCACTTAATGCCACTGGTAAAATGGTAAATTTCCTGTTACGTACATTTTATCACAAAATAGAGTAAAAAAAAAAAAAAAAAATCAACCATTGAAAGTGGATTCAATTACTTTTCTTCCAGATTTGTTTTATCAACAATATTACATGACAATATATTCTGCCCTTTTATTATGCATTTTATGTAATATTTTCTCATTACACAGTTGGTGAAAAGAACATGGCTAGTTTTATGCTACTCATAGCCAGATGGTGGTTTCATCTGACCCATGTGCTGACTGCTTATTAACAGATTCAAAGATAGCCTTCCTCTTGTAGTTAGTCAATAGCTATCCAAAGTTCTCTAGATCGTTATGTATGGATTGTCTTCCTACGTCTGGTGTCAGTTCCTGTCTCTTCCGGTCTCCAAATTAGCTGTTTATAAAGCAGGCTGCTGTTTGAAGGTCTTGTCTTGACAGCTCCAGAAACAGGAACCCAATGGATAAGTCTCTTCCCACTAAGAAGTGGGCTTAGGAATTGTTTCTCATGAACAAGGCCTTCTTTTTATTAAAAATATTTTACCTGTCTAATTTTCACATTTCTACAATATTTCTTATTGCTGAAAAGTTTCTCAGGAGTTTTTGAGTTTTTGAAATTCTCTGAATTGTGAAACTTTGGTCCTTTGGCAAACCAATCTTAGTACTTAATTAATGTCTGATTGCATAACTCATCACCTCCAGTATTTTTTTCTCTTGTGAACATCAGAAGAATAACTCTTTCTCTGCATTTGGTTGAACATACAGCTGTTCCCAAAGGAGCTCCTTAATTTGTTCTCACTTTCTAAATTCACATGTAATCTTCTAATCAGTATCTTAAGACATTTTTACCCTTCTTTAATTTTTCCCTGATTTTATATGATAAGCATGGCTCTTAATGGCAGCATGCACATTATAATCTCAAAACATATTTTTGAGTCAATGGATTTAAGCATAATTTGATTTTATAGTTGGTGAATGTGGCTCAATTAACTTCACCAGGTGTATAGTTAGTTGATCTTGGGCTCTATTTATAAGCTTGTTAAAATTCAAGTAAGGAAATGGAGAAAACTGATTTGCTACCTCCTATGTTTTAGCAAACAGTCTCACTGGATTACAATTTAGTAAGTGGTAAACTTATGGAATGGTACCAGTAAATACTTACGTATAGTAGTCTGTAGTCTGGTGGAGTGGGTTGTTGCTTATTTAAAAGTATTACTTTAGTTAGAATACTTGCTCAAAGCATTTTGTGGCCAGGTTTTGGTGGTCAGTTTTTCTCAACCAGGGTGTGGCTGGAAAATTAAGCTCTAGTACCCTAAGACATCCATTGTAAGTAATGAATTAACTTCTCTCCAACGTATCTAAAATAGTACATGTTACATAAAATCCTTGAGAGAATTCAGAACATAGTCACTCAAATAACTTGGTGAATTGTGTGGTTCAAATGAGGAACCCCAGCTGAGAAAGCCTGGATGGTGATATTTTTATGGTTATAGGTTTATTCTCCATCAATCAAAGACGGAGAAGTGCTATCCTGTCCTGAGAGTCCAAAACATAACAGGGTCAGGGCAGTCATTATAAATACACTACCTAATGAATATAATAATTATTCTTTAAGATAGGTATTTCCCAGAAGTCAGAGATAAGAAAATTGAAGTCCAGAGAGTTGAGCAATTTGGTGGAACCAGACTGAGTAACTCAGACCCAGGATTTGAACCCAGTTCTGCCTCGGTGGCCTACTTCTACTTCACTTCACCCTTTTACACTGCCACCACTAGCACTCCTGGCCTTCAATGCTTCAAAAAAAGTTCTAAGTATTAAAGAATCTTAAGCATGCAAGTTAAGCAATAGGAATCCTTTGCACTTTACAAACATGATTTGATAAAGAATGGCTTAGCAGACAGGCATACTAGAAGCATCCTGAATGAGGCTATTGCGATGGTTGTGAAGGAGAAAAGCAGCAGTATGGATGGAGACAGAATGACTGAAGAGATATTCAGGCAGCGATTGACTGAATGGAGGTAGCCAAAAGGGTGGGGAGAAGAAAAAAAGAAAATTATAAATGACATCAAAATGGCTATTACTCTTTGGATAACTCAAAACTGTGCATCTAGCTGATGGCAGGTCAGTGGCATTACTTTCATATATGAAAGACAGCATAATATTTACTACTTTATATAAAATCTTTATTCTTGTGAAAAAGTTGTAGAAGAAAATAATATAAAAGTTTCCTTTGCCAGGAGGTAACGATGAAGAACAAAAGAAGTATGGAGATGTGAAATGAAAGCTATACCTTCCTACTTAGAAAGTTATGCAATTCTAGATCTAATCTATGACAAGAGTTTGGTATTAAACTAGCCTAAGCCAGAGAAGTGAAATATTTATCAGACAAAAAGTCAACCAGGCTGTTCCCCTAAACAGGAAAGTCTAGGTAATCTCTGATAGGTCACATCTAGGGGCAATGTGCACCTCTTCCCTGGCCACCTTCAAATTGATCAGTTACGGTTCCTGTGGCTGCTGGGCTGTCTTTCTGGAATGATTATGTTTCTCCCCTTTATGCCGGCTTCTGGTGGTCATGTGCTCTACCATTCCCCAGAAAGCCTCTCCCGTATGCTCCATTTAGTGCCCATGGCAGCCTGACCTACTCTCATCTATTACTTTGATCATCTTTTTATTATTAATGATAATAAAAGTATTTTTTAATTATCTACAAATAGATGAGCAATTAGCATTATAAACTGAAGATGGTATGTATTAATGTTTTCAAAGATGGCCTAGGCATATAAGAATAACATGGAAATACCCAGTTAATATACCTCTCAATTCTTTTCTTGTTTTCCTCCATTTTTTGATTTGCCACATTTAACAGGAAGTCAATATATTCCTCTGTCACCATCAGTTTTCCTTTATGGCTTAATGGAACTTCTAAGCCATGTGTACTCCGGACAGCCTACAAGGAAAAAACAGTTTAGATATGAAGACTTAGATACCAGAGAAACTGAAAATAACTCAAGAAAAGTCCCAGTCAGGGCTGTGTTTGAACATACTTTAGTTCCATTACAGCAGTTAGGTTAGTGCTTTGATAGAATTTAGCTGAACACAGTTAAAGGAGATTAAATAAAATTTTTTCCATCATCTACAGTCATTTCTAAAGAAAGACGTTCTATACATTATCTTTCAGAGAGGCAGATGATATCAAAGAATTTTCAATCTCACTATAGCTTAGAAAGCCATGATACACAACTTAAAGAAATAAAACCTCAACGGAAATCTCAAGGGAAAATCAAAAGGAACTGGATGCCAAAGAGTCTCAGTGCTCTTGGAGCAGAGCACGGTTACAAGAGTAAACCATGCCTCTTCTATCATACACAGGAGCTGCTTCTCAGTGCTTTAGGGCTCACAGTCTTAATAGCCCTGTTGATGAAACAGTCAACGTGTTCCAAGTAGAGGCAAACACTGGATAGAGGTTAAGAACAACCATACAAATGCTGTAAAAATTATTATGAGAATAAAAATTCACTCCATAAACTTTTTTTTTTTTTTTTCAGAGTTTTGCTCTTGTTGCCCAGGCTAGAGTGCAGTGGCACGATCTCAGCTCACGGCAACCTCTGCCTCCCAGGTTCAAGCGATTCTCCTGCCTCAGCCTCCAGAGTAGCTGGGATTACGGGCATGTGCCATGCCTGGTTAATTTTCTACTTTTAGTAGAGACAGGGTTTCTCCATATTGGTCAGGCTGGTCTTGAATTCCCCATCTCAGGTGATCCACTCGTTTGGCCTCCCAAAGTGCTGGGATTACAGGCGTAAGCCACCATGCCTGGCCACTCCATAAACTTTTATTGAGCATCTGCAATGTTCTAGGCTCCCTATAAGGCATGAAGATACAGGGTGCCTATAACATGACCTCTGACTTTAAGAGTTATGACAAGACGAAACACACATGCATGCATGTGCATGTACGTACACACACATACACACACAATGGCAAGAAAATGTTGAAGAGAAGCAACTAACTGAGTCTAAGAACTCAGCTTTATGGGAAAGGCAGCAATTGAGTTGGGATTTTAAAGGATGAGTGCAATTTCAACACACAGAAAAATGAAGAAGGGGCTGGGCATGGTGGCTCACGCCTGTAATCCCAGCACTTTGGGAGGCCAAGGAAGGTGGATAACCTGAGGTCAGGAGTTCGAGACCAGCCTGGCCAACATGGTGAGACCCAGTCTCTACTAAAAATACAAAAATTAACCGGGCATGGTGGTAAGGGCCTATAATCCCAGCTACTTGGGAGGTTGAGGCAGGAAAATCACTTGAACCTGGGAGGCGGAGGTTGCAGTGAGTCAAGATCGAGCCATTGCACTACAGCCTGGGCGACAAGAGCGAAACTCTATTTCAAAAACAAAAAAACAGGAGGAGGAGGAGGAGAGGAAGGCAGAGGAAGAACTCCAGCCAGAGTCCAGCCACAGGGACAACTTATCTGTGGGCATAGAGATATGAAAGAGCATGATACCCTTGGAAAACAACTAATAGTTCTATGTGGCTGGAGCATAAGTATGTAAGTGGGAGATGAACATAAACAGGTAGATGCAAAATAGTCTGGGTAAGACCTTGAATACCAGGAAAATGTTTGGAGGACCGGACCTGAGATTTTTTTTTTCTTTTTTTTGAGACGGAGTCTTGCTTTGTCGCCCAGGCTAGAGTGCTGTGGCATGATCTCGGCTCACTGAAACCTCTGCCTCTCAGGTTCAAGCAATTCTCCTGCCTCAGCCTCCCAAGTAGCTGTAATTATAGGCATATGCCACCATGCCCGGTTAATTCTGGTATTTTTAGTAGAGACGAGGTTTCACCATGTTGGTCAGGTTGTCTCAAACTCCTGACCTGAGGTGATCCACCCACTTTGGCCTCCCAAAGTACTGGGATTATAGGCATGAGCCACTGCACCAAGCCGAGGCCCTGAGCTTTTTAAAGGGGGATTCTGATAGCGCTGGTTGGACGGACTCAAGGAGAAGGCCCAAAGTAGGAAGACTAGTCAGGAGATAATGTTAAAGACTGAGGTTAGGGACCCTGAGGACTGGGCAGTACCAGAAGACCTAGGGTGGGGTCAAGTATTAGAAACAAGGGGCAGCATGGATAGGATCTATAATGAATTGAATATGGAAACAAAGAAGAAGGTGAAAGAATGGCTGTTTTCACTTGGGTTACTAGATGGAGTAAAGAGTGAGATGGGGACACAAACCAGTACCACGGGCTTTAATTTTCTTTTCTTTTTTGTTTGAGACAGAGTCTCGCTCTGTCCAGCTGGAGCACAGTGGTGTGATCTCTGTTCACTGCAACTTCCACCTCCTGGGTTCAAGCGACTCTCCTGCTTCAGCCTCCTGAGTAGCTGGGACCACAAGTGCACACCACCAAGCCCAGCTTATTTTTGTATTTTCAGTAGAGATAGGGTTTCACCATGTTGGCCAGGCTGGTCTCAATCTCTTGACCTCATGATTTGCCTGCCTTGGCCTCCCAAGGTGCTGGCATGAGCCACCACATCCGGCCAGGCTTTGATTTTCTATTTAGCCATGCTTTAAGGGTGTCCTCTTTTGTCATCCACCCCTATTTGGGAAATACGTTATTGTTAAAAATAGGTAGAAAATAGGAGAGTATAGGAAGATAGAAGGAGGGTAATCTCAGATAGTTCAAAAACATGCCATGCCAAACAGTAAATACCAAGAAATCAGAATAGGGCAAAATACCTAAAGGCTAGCTTGCCTAGAGAAGGACTCGAAAATAAAGCAAGTCTTAAAGATCATCTAGTCGAAAGGTCGGCAAATCTTTTCTCTAAAAGGACAGATAGTAAACATTTTTTGACTTCGAAAGCCATATAGTATTTGTCACACCTACTAAAGTTTGCCATTGTCTCACAAAAGCAACCTTAGACAATAAGTAATCAAATGAGTATAGTGGGATCTGGCCCCATGTGGGCTGAATGTGGCCCTAGGATAGTAGTTTGCTGGACCACTGATACTGCTGAGAAAATTCAAAATCTGAGGGACCGAGGAGCTTGCCCAAATTCACACAGTACAGCTGTGATCCAGCAGGTATCAGTACACGGGACTTTGGACTCTCTCTGTGACTCTTTCCATGATGTCACAGTGCTTTTGGGCTTTGCCTACTTAATGAGGAGGGCAGAGTTAAGAATCAGGTTAAAAGTAAATGGAGAAGAATATTATAAAATAAGACCTCAAATGTAAATCTAAACTCTGGACTTAGCCCTGTAGGAGGGAGTAAGTCACTGAAGGTTTATGAGTAAGAGAATGGCAAGAAGATTTGAGAAAGGAGACACTAAAGGAAGGAGTCTAATTAGGTTATTCAATCTCTGGATCACTTTACACTAAAAAAAATTGCTCTTTGACAAAATATCTTACCAACATAATTTTTCCTCTCTTTCCCACTGTTATGCCAGAGTTCCTGAAACCAGAATCTATTGCCACGGAATGCTGTAAGAAAATAAAACTTGTTAAATTTTGATACTGTGGGTAATCAGATCATCTGTTTAGCTCCACAAACTACAGAAGCATATATGACTCTAAAACCTATTAAGGTTTTTAAAAAATTTTTTTTGGCCAGCCAATACTGACTATGCTTAAAAACGACTTTGATCAAACTCCCAACATCAGGAAAAATATTGAAATATGAACTACAGACATGTCATTGAGAAAGAGTAAAAGTAGAATTCAATCACAAACAGTGACATTTGGCTAGTGATTGCTTCCAGAAAGCAGAATGTAACCAAAAAACAGTCATTCTTCTAATTGTGTTGTGTAAAAAGAAACAAAACAAAATCTTTTAAAATAAGTAAAATGTTTCTCAGTTTCCTTTCTATTGCTTAAAAATCTTTGTTGAAATGATAGAAGAAAGCATAGAAAGCACAAAAATTCTGATCTGACTGGGGTGGCTTTTAAGTTATTTTATCAGTCTCTAAATGTTAGAGAGCCCTGGGGAGCAGACGTGGGTCCTTTCTTTTCTCTAGCTCAGTAGTTCTTAAGCAAGAATAATTTTGAACCCCAGGGGCCATCTGGCAATGTCTGAAGACATTTTTGTTGTTAAGTTGTCACCACTCAAGGGAAGAGGAAGGGGGATCTCTAGCAAATAGTGGGTAGAGGTCAGGGATGCAGCTTAAACATTCTCCATTGCATAGGACAGCCCCCACACAAATAATTATTTGATCTGAAATGCCAGCTGCGCCATGGTTGAGAAACCTTGATCTAAGTACATGCTCTCCTTTTGAGATTCCCTGGTTTAAATACCATATATATACATATATGTTTACATGTATATATGTATATCTATAGATCATCTATATACCTATAGATACATAGCTATATAGATGAATCCCATTTCCAATTCAGATCTCTACCCTGAAACTGATTCTCCCTAATATAAATCTATTTCTCTCACATTCAGTCTTTCTAATTTCAGTAAATGACACCATCATTCATCTAGCTGCTCAAGCTTCAAACCTAGAGAACCCTGATGCTTTCTACCTCTTCATCCCCTATACCCAATTCCCATTGATTCTACCTCTATGATTACCTCAAATTAATCCAGCTCCTGCCACATCCACTGCTCACTCTTTTCAAGTCTCCATCACCTTTCTCCTTAACTTCTGGAGGAGTCTCCCAATTAGTCTCTGCTTTCATTCTTGCCCCCTTCAAACCATCCTTGCAGACTAGCCAGCGACAGAATCCAAGCTCTAAACCATGACTAATGATGTTCTATTTGCTCTAGCCCTGGCTATTTTCTCTAACCTTGAGTGGCTTCCCTTCTGTTCTTTGAATATTCCAAACCCTTTCCTACATCAGCTTCTTTATTTTTGCTGTTCCTCTATCAGTACTACTCTTTTCCTGGCTGGTTTCTTGTCATTCATCCTGTTTCCATTCAACGCTACTGCCTAAAAAGGTCGTCGTCTTCTTTTTTTTTTTTATTTTGAGATGGAGTTTCACTCTTGTCACCCAGGTTGGAGTGCAATGGCGCAATCTTGGCTCATTGCAACCTAGTGATTGCTTTTAGAAAGCAGAATGTAACCAAAAAACAATCATTCTTCTAATTGTGTTGTGTAAAAATAAAGAAAATCTTTTAAAATGAGTAAAACATTTCTCAGTATCCCTTCTATTGCTTAAAAAACTTTGTTGAAATGATATAAGAAAGCACAGAAAGCGCAAAAATTCTGATCCGACTGGGGTGGCTTTGTAAGTTATTATATCAGTCTCTAAATGTCAGAGAGCCCTGGGGAGCAGACGTGGGTCCCTTCTTTCTTGTAGCTCGGTAGTTCTTAACCACCCTCTTTAAAGGCAGCTCTGCCCTGACTGTCTAGTGGAGTGCCCTGCTTATCTCCTTCATAGCATGTCTCACAGTGAGAAATTATGTTTATTTATGTACTTACTGTCTGCCTCTGTCTCCTAGAATACAAATATAAGTTCCTTAGGTAAGGACCCCCCCTCAAAAAAGGGCTGTGAAGAAATGAATTTCTCAGTTCCTCTAAGTCCACTTCAATTTGCTCCCTGAAATGTTAGCCTTCCAATGAGGCTTAGGCCCAGACAAGAGCACAGCTGGGCTTAATCAGGATTAGCACAGAGAACAGAACATGGATATAGAAACACGAGAGTTAAAGTCTGGAGACACATCAGGGATGTGATGTGGTATAATGAGACTAAAATAAGGTTAGATAGAAGTTCAAGGTTAGAGCAGAGACTGAAGCCATGAGCCACTGAATGATTAAACACCATGTTTTGGAGACTCTCTCTAAATGCTCATGTTCCTCAGGCCCTCTTCTCTTTTTCTTCTGTACTTTCTCCACAGGTGATTTTATCTAGGCTCATGGCTTAAAAGAATAATTGTGTATTGGCGTCTTCTCAATGTTTGTCCCCAGTCCATATGAGTTCCAGACTTCTACCCAAACATCTATTTGAAATTTTCACTTAGGCGGTGGTGTTAGGGACTGAATTGTGTCTACAGGGCTTCAAAATTCAAATGTTGATGCCCTAAACTCCAATATGACTGTATTTGGAGATGGGGCCTTTAAGGTGCTAATTAGGGTTAAATGAAGTCATAAGGATGGAGCCCTGATCCAACAGGACTGGTGTCCTTACAAGAAGTAGAAGAGACAAGTGACGTGCATACACAGAGAAAGGGCCATGAGAGGACACAGGGAGAAGGCAGCTGCTGCAACCCAAGGACAAGGGCCTCAGAAGGAACTACCCCCTGTCAGTACCTTCATCCTGGACTTTCAACCTCCTAACTGTAAGAAAAATAAATTTCTGTTGTTTACGCTGCCCAGTCCATGGTATATTGTTATGGCAACACTAGCAGACAAAAACAGGTGTCTTATAGACATTTCACACTTAACATATGAATCACATTCTTGATTCCCATTCCTTCTGAGAGCTGAAGCCCTCTGGACTTCTTGAGTCTACTTGGGAGTTGGAAAACTTTTCTGTCTAGCTAGAGGATTGTAAATGCACCAATCAGCAGAAGATTGTAAATGTACCAATCAGCACTCTGTAAAAAAGCATCAATCAGCACTGTGTCTAGCTAAAGGATTGTAAATCCACCAATCAGCACTCTAAAAATGCACCAATCAGCGCTCTGTGTCTAGCTAAAGGATTGTAAATGCACCAATCTGCACTCTGTAAAATGGACCAATCAGCTCTCTGTAAAATGGACCAATCAGCAGGACATGGGCGGGGCCAAACAAGGGAATAAAAGCTGTCCACCTGAGCCAGCAGCAGCAACCTGCTTGGGTCCTCTTCCAAGTTGTGGAAGCTTTGTTCTTTCATTCTTCACAATAAATCTTGCTGCTGCCCACTCTTTGGGTCTGCACTACCTTTATGAGCTGTAACACTCACTGTGAAGGTCTGCGGCTTCATTTCTGACGTCAGCAAGACCATGAATCCATCAGGAGGAACAAACAACTCTGGATGCGCCACCTTTAAGAGCTATAACACTCACTGCGAAGGTCTGCGGCTTCATTCCTGAAGTCAGCAAAACCACGAACCCACTGGGAGGAACAAACAACTCTGGACGTGCCACTTTTTAGAGATGTAACACTCACTGCGAAGGTCTGTGGCTTCATTCCTGAAGTCAGCAAGACCACGAACCCACTGGGAGGAAAAAACAACTCCAGACGCGCCACCTTTAAGAGCCATAACACTCACTGCAAAGGTCTGTGGCTTCATTCCTGACATCAGCGAGACCACAACACCACTGGGAGGAACAAACAACTCTGGACGTGCCACCTTTAAGAGCTGTAACACTCACTGTGAAGCTCTGCGGCTTCATTCCTGAAGTCAGCGAGACCATGAACACAATGGGAGGAAAAAACAACTCTGGACGTGCCCCCTTTAAGAGATGTAACACTCACTGCGAAGGTCTGTGGCTTCACTCCTGAAATCAGTGAGACGGCGAGACCACGAACCCACCAGGAGGAATAAAAACTCCAGACGTGTCACCTTTAAGAGCTGTGACACTCACTGCAAAGGTCTGCAGCTTCACTCCTGAAGTGGGCAAGACCACAAACCCACCGGAAGGAAGAAACTCTGGACACACCCATCTTTAAGAACTGTAACACTCACTGCGAGGGTCCGCAGCTTCATTCTTGAAGTCAGCGAGACCAAGAATCCACCAGAAGGAACCAATTCCAGACACATTTTGGCAACCCAGATGGGACATATTTTGGCAACCCAGATGGGACAATCGCCTATTGCCAAGTGTTGAGTACCATTGGACCCCTTTCACTTGGTATTCTGTTATATTTTTCCTCAGAATTTGGGGGCTACATACCGGGCACCTGTGGGCCAGTTAAAAGTGACTAGTGCGGCCGCTGGACTAAAGACATGGGTGTCAGGCTTTCTGGGAACGGGCTCTATTCAGAGTTGGGAGCGTTGGTTTGCCTGGAACCAGTTTCCACTTTTCTTGTACTTCCGGGCTGAGCCGAGGGTCGACAGAGAGGAAAGCCATTCAGCTCTGGGGTCCCAACAATAAGTTGGTTGGCCCTGCAGCCATGAGCAGAACTCTCAAAGTCACGTTGCCCAAGCAAGACTCACCCATCTATCCTATCTATCCTGACCCTTGCCTCCTGGGTCCTAATACCTGTCAGACAAACTTTCTCTTGTCTCTCTTCTCCAAGGCTAGTCCTGCTTCTAAAAACCACTCCCTGTCTCTTGTGCTTTTCTAGTTTCTCCTATAAGAATGATTTCTAGTATAAACTTCAGGACTCTGTTCCTTTCTTTAGGTACCCAGGCTCACCAATCAGAAAGACATAATTTTTGCCTAAAGCCTTGTCAGGTTGGGGGAACTCTCTGGAATTTTAGGATCCCTTCTCAGACAAGCAGACTAGCAAAAGCTATTTCTGAAGCTATGATATGGGGAGCTTCAGAAATGATATTCTTCCTATTCAAGTGAGGACAAAAGGCATCACTCTTCCAACCCTGGAGATACC